TAAGGCCTGGGGGGGTCCTGGGGGGGATTTGGGGGGTCCTTGGGGGGATTTGGAGGGGTCTTGGGGGTCTCAGGGAGGGTCTGGGGGGGGATTTGGGGGGGTCTTGGTGGGATTTGGGGGAGTCTTGGGGGTCTCAGGGAGGGTCTTGGGGGGTCCCTCTGGGGCTGGGGGGGTGAGGGGGGTCCTGGAGGGTCTTGAGAGGGTCCAGGGGGGTCCCTGGGGGGGTCTCGGGTGTCTCCCGGTCCCTCCCCCACCCCCCCAACTTCCCCTCAGCTGCCCCTGAGTCACCCACGGGGCCCCTCCCCCACCCCAGTGCTCCCAGTCCCTTATCCCATCACTCCCAGTATCCCCCAGTGCTCCCAGTCCCTTGTCCCATCACTCCCAGTATCCCCCAGTGCTCCCAGTCCCTTATCCCATCACTCCCAGTATCCCCCAGTGCTCCCAGTATCCCCTGTATCCCGATCCACTCAGTGCTCCCAGTGCCCTCCCAGTGCTCCCAGTATCCCCCAGTGCTCCCAGTATCCCCCGTATCCCGATCCACTCAGTGCTCCCAGTGCCCTCCCAGTGCTCCCAGTATCCCCCGTATCCCGATCCAGTCATTGCTCCCCGTGCTTCCAGTGACTCCCCAGTATCCGCCAGTGCCCCCAGTATCCCCAGCATCCCGACCCACTCAGTGCTCCCAGTGCTCCCAGTATCCCACCCAGTGCCCCCCCAGTGCTCCCAGTATGCCCCGTATCCCAATCCACTCAGTGCTCCCAGTGCCGCCAGTGCCCCTCCAGTATCCCCCAGTGCTCCCAGTATCCCCCGTATCCTGATCCACTCAGTGCCCCCAGTGCCGCCAGTGCCCCCCCAGTATCCCCCAGTGCTCCCAGTTTCCCATCACTCCCAGTCCCTCTCCCATCACTCCCAGTGCTCCCAGTGCCCCTCCCATCAGTCCCAGTGCCCTCCCAGTGCCCCCAGTATGCCCAGTTCTCTCTCCCAGTCCCCTTCTAGTGCTCCCAGTCCTTGTCCCATCATTCCCAGTCCCTCTCCCATCACTCCCAGTGCCCCCAGTATCCCCTCCAGTGCCCCTCCCAGTGCTCCCAGTCCCTCTCCCATCACTCCCAGTGCCCCCCCCAGTGCCTGTTCCATCACTCCCACTGCCCCCAGTGCTCTCCCAGTGCCCCCAGTATGCCCAGTATCCCAATTCCCTCAGTCCCGCCATCACTCCCAGTGCCCCTCCCAGTGCTCCCAGTCCCTCTCCCATCACTCCCAGTGCCCCCCCAGTGCCTGTTCCATCACTCCCACTGCCCCCAGTGCTCTCCCAGTGCCCCCAGTATGCCCAGTATCCCAATTCCCTCAGTCCCGCCATCACTCCCAGTGCCCCTCCCAGTGCTCCCAGTCCCTCTCCCATCACTCCCAGTGCCCCCAGTATGCCCAGTATCCCAATTCCCTCAGTTCCCCCATTGCTCCCATCACTTCCAGTGCTCCCAGTCCCTCTCTCATCACTCCCAGTGCCCTCCCAGTGCCCCCAGTATGCCCAGTTTGCCCCCTCAGGTGCTGCTGGGGATCTTCTTCAACGTGCACTCGGCCGTGCTCATCGAGGACGTGCCCTTCACCGACGAGGATTTCAAAGAGTGAGGGAGTTTGGGGGGGATTTGGGGGATTTTGGGGAGATTTGGGGGATTTTGGGAGGATTTGGGGGAAAATTGGGGGGATTTGGGGGGGATTTGAGGGATTTGAGAGGGATTTTGGTGGGATTTGGGGGGATTTCAGTGGTCCTGGGGGGGTTTTGGGTGGCATTTGGGGGGCCTGGGGGGGATTTGGGGGGGATTCGGGGGGATTCGTGGGAGCCCTGGGGGGATTTTGGATGGAATTCAAGGGCATTCGGGGGGATTTGGGGGTCCTGGGCAGTCTGTGGGGGGGAATTTAGGAGGGTTTGGAGGGAATTTGGGGAGAATTGGGTGGAATTCGGGGGGAATTGGGATTTTGGGGGGGACTTGGGTTGAATTCGGGGGGATTTGGGTGGAATTCAGGGAGATTTGAGTGGAATTTGGGGAGGGCTTTTGGGTGGGATCTGGGCAGATTTGAGGGGTCCTGGGAGGATTTTGGGTGGGATTTGGGTGGGATTTGGGGGTCCTGGGAGGATTTTGGGGGGATTTGAGTGGTCCTGGGGAGATTTTGGGGGGGGGGGGGGATTTGGGTTGAGTTTGGGTTGATTTGAGGGGGATTTGGGTGGAATTTGGAGGAATTCGGAGGGATTTTCGGGGAATTTGGGGGAGATTTCGAGGATTTGTCCCCCAAACCCCCCTGTAACCCCCCCAAACCCCCCTGTAACCCCCCCAAACCCCCTCTAACCCCCCCTTTTCCCCCTCTGGCAGCGGCCCCGACCGTCTGTACGGGCTGTTCGAGCAGGTCAGCTACAACTGCTTCATCGCCGCGGGGCTCTACGCGCTCCTGGGGGGCTTCTCCCTCTGCCAGGGCCGCCTCAACAAGCGCAAGGAGTACATGGTGCGCTGACAGACCCCAAAAACGCCCCAAAACCGACCCAAAATACCCCAAAAACCGCCCCAAAATACCCCAAAATAACCCCAAAAACCTCCCCGGAAGGAGCGAGTTGGTGCCGGCGCCGCCCAGTTGGAACCAGTTCTCCCAATAAACCCGCGGGGTCTTTGCCCCCACCCCCAGCCGTGGTTTTTAATGGGCGATTTGGGAGGAATTTGAGGGGATTTGGGAGGGTTTCAGGGGGTTTTGAGGGGAATTTGGGGGGTTTTGGGGGGGTTTTGGGGGGGAATTTGGGTGGTTTGGGGAGGGATTTGGGGGG